TTTATACACGATAGAGAAAGAATTTCATATTTAGATAATTCAGAAGGTTCAGAAGGCTCGGACCTTATAGAACAACCCATTTTGACTTAAGTTCTGAATGCGAGACAAGATTCACACTTTATCATAACGATTATAACGGCTAGTAATCTGGCTTGGATTTCACAAATGGAAAGTCTTGATTGATTCAATCTTAAAAGGCTATTTTGTAAGGATTATTATATCACAAAAATATCCTTAATTGATTAACAATCAACCATCGAGACAAGTTTATTCCTAAATGGAGAGGCTCTTCTTATGGAAACCGAAGTTCTGGTTGTATGGGCGATCAGACTTAGCGGGATTCAGATTTTGTCATTCAATGGCTACTCAATCTCTTCTATACAAATATGTCCAAGATGAAGACTGTTCAACGGCTAGTTTGGAAGTGGAGGAGTATAAAAAGAGACAAAGTTTTGAGGAGCAAAACATGTGACAAGATCCATAATCATTCATTCCAAAGTCTGAGCATACTCCAATCAGTGATACTTGTCTTTTTTGTGCTAAAATCTGCAGTCTTGAGAGACCTTGTGTAAAAATGATTAAGTGAGATAGAGTGACCTATCTTACATAGAGTGTTATCACTCAAATTTTGTAATCTCTTGATTATTCATCTAGTGGAATCTAGCCAGTAGGTTGTCAGGGTGGGAGAGTGGATGTAGACTTGATCTAAGCTGAACTATTATACATCTTGTGTGCAATTTCTCTTTCCTAAAAACTCTTTTTCATTTACTTTATTGCACATTCTGATAATTATCTGAACAAGAAATTTCAAAATCTGAACGTGGTTCAAACTTTTTTCTTTATATTTTACTTCCACTTTAAATTTGTTAAGAATTATTTAAAATCACCTATTCACCCCCTCTAGGTGATCATTGCTTGTCACCTCACTTTACAAGGTTGAGATGACATGAAATTATATGATGATATGGCTAGTGTAGTCATGATATAACATGGCTTGTGTAGCCATGGTAAGATGCTAAGACTTAGCCAACATCATGCGAATGTACGGTGGTGTATTTATCCTCGCTAATGTAAATGACGCCCATGATAGATAGGCTAAGAGGCGTGGCAAATGGGTAAGTTTGTTTTTGCCTCCCATGAGTTGGTGGTGACGATACCTCATAAATCAAGATGGTCAAGGCCTGTGACGAATATAAACTCATATGTGTAAATCGATGAGATATTATGTGATATTTATTATATATAATATGACATCCGCTTGTACATGAGTGATTGATTTATGCAATGTTATTGTTGTTTCATTGATCTACATGAAGGATAGTACCTTTTTTTCTGTATTCATCATGCATGATTGTTTTATACTGCTTTGAACTCGCAATTGTTGTTGATATCAAATTGAGTGGTGAGTGAATTTTTTACCTTAGTTTTAGAGATTTCATTTACTGGGCTTCGGCTCATTCCTTTATTTTTCTAGACATGTAGGATGGCCTTTCCGCCGCCACGCTATTTGGAAACCCAGCTCACTTTGAGTATGAGTATGAGGATGTTGCGTTGGCTAATATGGTTTTGATGTATACTAAGTGTACTACCATGGTATGGGTCGACATAGGACTTGCCGAGTGGGTTCCCCATCGGTATGTAACCTGGTACGCGATCTATGATGGTGTCTGGATGGAACCGCTTAAAGGCTTTGATGGTCCTCCTGATTACATTGCCGATGAGCCGATGTTGGGGGAGGTGATCGATCATTGGATGTTGGATCAATGTTTTGCAGGCAGGCTTTTGAAAGCAATGGTGTAGTAGTGAAGACAAGGAGTTACCGAACCCTTCCCAAGTGTTTGATCTTTTAATGTAAAAAAAAATGCATATGTACATTATTAAGTATGTGAAATAATGAAATGACATGTTTAATTATTTTGATGTACTTCCGCATGCTCATAATAATTATAAGTAATAATTGAAAACGACATGTGTCGCGCATGACGTTATGTGGCGTCACATGTAGGGCATTAGATTTTATACTTCATTAGATTAGGCACATGCATCATATAAAATAAATAAAAAGAATTGCATTGAATTTAATTTAGATTACATTCATGCATATTTCCTAATGTAGAAATTCATATCTTAGGTGTATTAGGAATCATGTAGTAATTTAAGGAAAGCATAAACATCATTAGTGTATAATAAGGATTTAATATGGGGAAAAGTACCAAAAAAGTCATAAATCTATTGCATCGGTACCAATTAAGTCCTAAACTTTTTAATAGGACCGGTTCCAATTCAATTCATCAGGTCAATTTAGACAGGAAACCACTGACGTGGATCTTAGTCATCCTACGTAGCATAGCTGGCACTAACGTGGATAATTTTTAATAATTTTTTGAATTTTCATTATTTATTAAAACAAATTTCCCCTTTATTCTTTTTTTCCCTTTTTTTTCCAAGTATCGGCCACAGGCAAGGAAAAACAAGGGCGTCGTCGCCCTTGCCCAGGCCACAAGGACAACCTCGCCCAGGCCCTTCTTCGGTCATGGCCGAGTACCTACCATAGGCCAAAGGAAAGAGAAGGAAAAAAATAAAGGAAAAAAAGGAAATAGAAAAAAGGGAATTTTTTTAAAAAAATATTAAAATATTATTAAAAAATATCTATGTCAACGATTTTCGGCCTAAATTGGCCGGATGAATTGAACCGGTACCAATGTAAAAAGGTTTAGGATTAAATTTGTCCAATTGAACGGTTTAAGGCTGAATTAGTATCAATACAATAAGTTTAGGACTGTCTTAGTACTTTTCCCATTTAATATACAATATTTCCTGATTTTTTAGGCAGTTTCCTATTTTAAATCATAAAAAGAAAATACAAAACATAATTAGATTGCATTGTTAGGTCATCTTTTAATAAAAGTCATTAGGTCATGTTAGTGTCCTAAAGTTTAGTCTTTTATTTCTATAAAAAAAAAAAGGAAAAAAGACAAAAATAGTCTCACACGTAGTTTTAGTAATAGGATTATTCCCATGATTAATGCTACTTCATGTTATTCCATATAGATTGCATTCAATTTAATGGCTACCCGTCATGTAGATTTCATTTTAGTTCAACAAATTATGTCAGATTAGTATCCATATAGTCATAGCATTTCACTAAATTCATGTTTATTTCAAACAAGAAAAACACAGAAGGAAGTAATAGACATTGCATTTAGAAATCCTCTTTAGGGCATACATGTATTGTATGGTCTTTGGTTAATATTTTGTGGAACACTCGGTACATTGGATGATAGTAAAATTTCGCTTTTGCTTTGCATAACGCATCAAGGTTCTTTACCATTTTCTAGCAATTTATTTATTGCTTTGATTTATTGATTGTTACAATTCTTGTTTGCGCATGCGCATGATCACCTATCACAGTTTAGTGGTTTAGGATTAAAACTTACCAATACTACTTGCAAAAGTTTTTGAAATAAATAGAAAATATATCAAAAGAGCATTAGATTTATCTAGCGTAATCAAGTTCTCGTATTCATGAAATCTTTAGTTTACAGAAATAATTGTTCTCCCACATTTTGCTTGGGTTTTTTATCGGTCCATAATAGATTGGTGGCGACTCCGAAATGAATTGAATTGAGTGTTTAAATGATTTAATTAACACTCCAAAGTTGCGATTAGTATGGGTTTGATAGAGTCCATGCTAAGCGTTTGCTTAGTAATTCATTAATTTTCCCTTGATGGTTCACCCCTAAAAAGGTGGCGGTAGTTACCAATGAGTTTTGATTTACTAACTTCCAATCGAGATGCTTGCCAATGTTTATTTCGTTTTGTTTTTTCAAATTTATCAACTGTTCTATTGAGTTACCGAATTTTCATTTGGCTTGTTTACAAATCCGTTAAATTTGCCAACTCTTTTCAGAAATTAACTACCTTAGATTTTTTTCTTGAATTAAGTTACCAATTTAGTTTTGCATTACCACTCTTATGTGAATTAGAATTATCAAACATCTCTTATATTTGACCAAAAAAAGTTCTTCTCTTTTGTAAACTTTCATTTACCATTCGTATCAACACCTTAAATTTACCAACTATTCTAGGAAGTTTCCCACACCTAATGAAATTTACCGGGATATAAAAATAAAAAAGAAAATCTGTATCTTTTGGGCACAGCACCGCAGAATTCTAGCATTTATAATGTTTAATTATCTCTCGAGTTTGAGTCCGTGTATGAAACTAGACTAGTGTACAAAGCCAGATATGAATGAATGATGTATACCGGTCGTGTATTGCAGGGACAATTGGACGAGGCGTTCAAGAAAGTCCTAGTTGATGTAGACCGGTCCGTGTTTTGCCTCATACCATAGCTTGGAGCTCTGGCCTATCATCAGCCGCACAAAATCGAAGGGAATATCTAAATCTTGAGCATGGATTCCAGTTGAATGCTGCATTAAAAGAGAGATGTGGCCGAATAGTGGACTCTCACAATTTTGGGCGTACACACAACGGTGGATTTGTGTTGTGAGCTCTGCAAAATGTGGGTTTGGCCGGAAAATAGGGCCAGAAAACACTCGAGTGTGCGAGTGATCGTGACCGGTGATTTCGTTTTGATTTGATTGCAAAATCCGATAGATCCCAGATTATTTTATCTTTGCAAGGTTACGGTGATTTAATTTTTCAGCCAATATTTTTCTGGGTTTTGTTCATAACAGCCAACCTTAAAAAGAAAGAAATTTCTCTGTGGAAATCCGACTTCACATTCCGACTTTGAATCCAACTACTGAGAGTATAACAAATGAACGTGAGCTCTTCTATTCTTGATTACAATATGATTCTCACAATATGTGGTCAAACATTATACTTTTCGAGCTGAACATCCTTGGAAACCAGAGGAACATACTCGCCAAGATAACCTTCGAGATGATCCGAAAGTGCCGACTTATCGATGTTCTCGTGATGGTACGACTTGCACACGAAGTAGACTACTGTTTGGACGACAAGTTCAAACAGGATCAACGCGCAAGCAGCAAACAACACGCAACTCCAAACGTGATTCTACTCGCGATCCCCGTGGAGACGGTGTTGTTCCCATGAACAACCAGGTTTTGGGACCCTAATTGGATGAGCCCAACAAGCAGATTGAACTTCAAGCAGATGACCGATAGCACCCACAACTTCCCTTCAATTAGTGTATGGCTCTTGTAAATGGCATGACCCGTATAAGAAAGCTCCTCCAACACAGCCACAACACTAGCCAATTGCCATACCGTGCTAATATACACTAGACCCACCAAGTAAAACCCCCCAAACACTACGTAAAAAGTCATACCGACATTCTTCGGGCTGATGATCGATTGGTATGCAAAGAACATGACAATTGCAAGGATGTCGTAAAGGAAGATAAGGCAAAACATCGAAAAAAGGATGACCATTGGCTTCTTCCAAACCCTAGGGACCACCCTCATGACCCTCTTGAAGGAGACCTCTCGCCTGGCATAGACCGAGGCAACAGTGTAGACCACCGCGGAGGTAGCAAGGAGGGAGAAGGTGAGGAGGAAAACGGCTAGGAAAAGCAAGAAGACGGCCGTTTCCTTGTTGAGGCTGTCCGAGCCGTCGAGGGACATCGAGTCGTGGACCATTTCGGAGAAGAGGGCATCGGACACCTTCATGTGAAGCAAGAAGATGAAAGAGAGAGGGAGGACGAGTGCAAGAGTGATCTGAGCGAAGATTTTCTTCCATTGCAGTATGATGTTGCACGACTCTCTGTAGATGCCAAAGGGACCGAGAAACTGCATGTCTTCTTGCTCTCTGTCCATGATTTCGTGGTGTATATTCTTCCCACAAAAAGCTTTGCACCCAATTGAATCGATGGCAGAAGCAAAAGTTAACCGATGTCTTGGCCGGTGTTGGGCGGAGATGGGAGATGAAGGGTGTACACTTATAGGGAAAAAAAATTGATGGCGAGAAAAGAGAAGCTTTGAGGAAATAAGCACTAGACCTGCGTGTGGAATTTCTCCGTGGTGGCCGTTGATTTTTACAAAGATTCTCAAGTCAATGCGCGTCATGGTCAAAGGTGCAGCTGATATTTTTTCTCTCCTTCCAATTTCCACCACCATGCACTATGAAGGGGGCAAAATTGAGAAGATTTCCCTCTGCCTAAATTGTTTCAGACGGATAATCTCTCCAAAGTCATTACAAGAACCGAGTGCATGACAATTTGTACCGGACCTTATTTTTAAAAGATTTTGTATCTTACTATTTTGGTCTAAGCACATATATACGGGGAAATCAGTAAGAAAGTTCTAAATCTATTGCACTTGTGTCAATTCAATTCTTAACTTTTCAATTTAGCTAGTTTAGTCTCAAACCTTCTGACAATTTGTTAATGTAGTCCATCCGACCAATTTTGAATAGAAATCGCTGATGTGGACGAATTTAGTCTCAAACCTTCTGACAATTTGTTAATGTAATCCATCCAATCAATTTTGGATAGAAATCGCTGATGTGGACGAATTTAGTCTCAAACCTTCTAACAATTTGTTAATGTAGTCCATCCGACCAATTTTGGATAAAAATCGCTGATGTGGACGTCGGCCGTCCTGCGTTGCACGGCCGGCGCTGACGTGAATAATATTTAAAAAAATTTCTGAACTTTTTTCTTTCGTTTTCTTTCCTTTTTCTTTTTGCCAGTGGCTAGTCGCTGGCCACCAGCCTCGCCCTCCACAAATGAGGGTCGGCCTTACCTAGGTAAGGCGAGCGTTGGCAAGGGCCCCCTTCGCCAAATCTGGCCAGGCCGACCCTTATTGGTCTTCGCCTAGGCAAGGGCGAGAGCCACCCTCACTAGGATAATTTTTGCAAAGTTTTTAAAATTTTTCTGAATTTTTTTCTTTCATTGAAACGTACTACTAATCACCCGAAAAATTTGCTAGTCACAAATAGATGCACACCTATATTTCCAAATATATAGGAAAACTTCACTGACGGCAGTGAAAAAGTCACTCATAACAATTTTATATATATATATATATATATATATATATATATATATATATATTGAAACTTTGTTTTGTGTTTAACAAGTCACCGACCATGTGAAAAGGTTAGCAATTTCTGATAGAAAGTCTTTTGACGATACTATATAGTCGAAAGCAATCCAGTTCTCGTGGATAGTTTCTCGTAGTTGAAGTTTTGCAATTTGTTGCCCCTCCATGTCCACGCATGCATAGAGCAGCTTGACCATCTTGTTGTCAAGAAGGCAATTAAAAATCCTTTAATTCATTATAATGTGGTTATGCATCTGTCTTCTTCTTATTTGTTTGTTATATTCTACTTATGTAATTACCAAACTCAATTAGCTCGCAAACCTAAGCTGTGTGGTGTTCATTTATGCATGGACAGCTTCAGATATTGGAGCATTTGTTATTGCTACCTAACTCCATTAAAAATCAAAGTGGATGTCTGAGAACAGGTTTAAGTTTGATACAGGTGCATTTATATCCTCAAATTAGAAACAAGGAAGGTTCCTTTCCAATAGATTTATCTTGTAAATAAATATCAATTTCGCGAAACAGGTATACATACGTTGATGAGAATGGGACAAGGAAATGTAATACACAACACACACCGATTAACTTACTGAAGAAAGAGAAGAAAATGACTCGCAGAACCCTTATTACAAGTCGAATTATAGAACAGGAGGGAGTGCAAAACAAACATTAATTAGTTCAAGCAATAAGACAAAGACTAGATCACAGATATGCTATAACCTGCATGAACATCAGACTAGTATAGAACTACTTGATTAATCTGTTAATCGCTTCTTATAAACATGTAAATTATAACAAGAAAAAAGTTAAGTGAAATTCCTCAAACTACTTATTAGTTGATTAGATCATCAGAAAAGAAAAACGACAAGGATAATTATCTGGGAAAATTTCTCTAGTGATCAATAGTCATATCAAGAAGAAATCCCCACACCAAGGAAATCTATGAAAGGAACATCCTTGTGCTTGAGAGACTCATCTGCTTGTTCTTGATGCGTCGAACTAGCGTGCAATCTCGTCTTCTCTAACCTCGGCATTTCGTCGCGGAAGCTCACCATCTCCTGCTTCTTCATCGTGTTACCGTCGTTCCTGCCATCGTCGAGGCAAACATACCCAAATGGACTTGGAACGACCCTCCGGTTATGACTAATCGAGTAAGCACTGGAAACAGGTGAATATGGATGGGAATGGAAGGGTTGGCTCAAACTTCTCGACCCCTCTTTAGCGGAATAATTATTGAAAGCTCGATTGTAGTAATCTCTTCTTTCTATTCTATTGAAGTCATCAACTGGAGAAGAGTTGTGCGCGGACTTTGCAAGCAATTGGCTGCCGAAAGTCCAAGAAGCTGACGAAGATGGTGACAGAGCGAAATTCCTCTCCCTACTGGGGCTTTGAAAAATGAAAAATCCTTTCCCCTGATCAAACCCGAACTGCGAACCGAGCAATTCATCTTGAAAATGATTCTTTCTCCCTTGCAAACCAGTGGAGTCACCGAGAGAGTACTCTTGATGGCTTCGTTTCCCACAGAGCTTGGACTGCTCTCTTTGCTTTCTAGCCATTATAACATGCCAATGGTTCTTCACGGCGTTGTCCGTTCGACCGGGAAATAATCTCGCTATGAGCGCCCACTTGTTTCCATGCACACGATGAGCGGCGAGAAGCCTCTCCTCTTCTTCTTCGGTAAATGGCCTCCTGTTAATTCTTGGATCGAGTTGGTTAAACCACCTTAATCTGCAACTCTTTCCTGTAAAAAAAACAAGAGTTCCAAATTAAATTAACATTCAAACCGAAGATCCTTTGCAGATTTAATTGGTAAAGATATTTTCCCAAGCTGTTTCAGCTATACTCTCTAACACCATACTTGGCCATATAATTACAGTAGATTAAACCAAATAAGAGCTACCTCGAAGTATGAGAGAGAGAGAGAGAGAGGTCCAACTGAACTTTCAACAGCACATAGCATTACATCATCTGATCGGGAATTCACTAACAAGAAATGAAAACATGCGCAAACAAACTTAAATCTCGAAAGTTAAAATTGATCCACGAGACTGAGAAAGTTCATATGCATATATGTACGGATCAAATTAAAATTTCATGCCTGATCTTCCTTGAAGCTTCTCTGCAATAGAATTCCAGTTCTGCGCACCGAACTGCTCAACGAGCTGCCGGAGCTTCTCATCCTCCGCAGGTCTCCAGTGGCCACGTGGACAAGCAGTAGCGCTCTTCCCATCGTCGCCGGAGCCGGAGTTCGCTCGTCCAGACGAATCCATGATCGCGTGGCCAAGGGAAATTATTCCACATCTGATGCGAGATCAAAGTAAATGCCTGGCTTCGTGATGCGAAGTATATATAGGAAATGGAATATATGCATTATCATCAGATGTAGAACCAGCAAAATAAGAAAGTGGGGTTTGGTTTAGGGTTGTGGATGAGCAGTCACTTTTGTTGGTTTTACACGACAAAAAAGAAAAAGAAAATTTAAGGCTGCTAATTCATGTTCATGTATTTGTGCAGGAGAAGCACTGAACTTTTTCTTATTTGTGTGTTATTGGCCCATGAAATATGAATCGCATATATATATATATATATATATATATATATATATATATATGATCATCCTCTGTCAATATAACTCATTTTTCTTTTTTTCTTCCTCAATTGTATAATCACTTCTTTTTAAGCCATGGTACTACGTTAATATCAGAAGCTCTTGCTATCTGAGCAGTTGCTTGGTTTGTCTCATAGGGACAGCTCTCCTATATATTTCAAAGACTGCTTTCCTAATGATCCTCCCTCCAGACGGATCATTTTTTCTTTATAAGGAAAAGGGGAATAAGAAAAAAAAATTTGACCGAGAGTCGTTCGGCCATCTCTGGTCCAATCGCATATTGAGGAACAATGAGATTAGGTAATAGATAGTCGCATGGAAAAAAAGTACACATTCCGATACGGTTTACATTACATATTTAATTTGCTCTATGCAGGTCTTCAACTCACTCCTAATGCTAAAATCTGGGGTACATATATCATGAGCGGATTAGTCTCACAAAGTTGCTGCTATTTCCTCCATAAACATTTTGTTTATTGATGTAGCTTCTTTGGTTAGTGGGATATGAGAGAGAGAGAGAGAGAGAGAGAGAGAGAGGGATTGCAAGAAGGCTCTTGCTTACCTAAAATGAATAAACTAAGGCTAGTGCCATAATAATGAACAAGCTATCCTTCTTGAGCATGTTTAACGAAGATCACTTACGCGTTTCTGTCTATGTCCATGTCAATGTTCACCCCATTAACGCGTGATTCTTTTTAGACACTCGCGTTGATGTAACCCTATTGGGAAGCACAAATGCATGTGGTAGATGGATTAGTGGATGCTGTTGTAATAATACCTAGTTAAAGACAACGTAGTTAATGTCCATCAAAATCGGTCCACTTCCAAAACTGATATGAAACCAGCTCTTCGACAATATCTTTAGAGATTGTAAAGACTTCCATTTATATCCTTCATATCCCAATCTTTAGAACTATATATCGAATATGTGTTGACATGTGAGTGTCCATTTCCAGGCTGCCATTTTTGTTAGGTACAGATTTTCCTAGAAGTAAAATATGCTTCATAAAATATGTGATGTAAACGGCGATGTAATTATTGAACGGTGTCCACAGCAGTTTCGGTGTCAAATATATGTGTTTTTGTTAAAAGCTTTGGCATCTCGCACTTGCTAAAGGGCTCACTTTCACAGGTGTCAAATATGTGCTTGTTCAACATGTTT